TGTGTGCCGTGTGTGCTGTCCTCTGTGTGCTGTCCTCTGTGTGCCCTGCTGCACCCTCCACAGGGAAGTCCCTCTGGAGTTGTTTTGAAAGGATAAATCTGGGCTGGGCTATAGTTCACTGGTAGAAAGGTGTAAAGCCTTGGGTTCCAATCCCCCAGCGAGAAAACAGAAGGACAGGCCTGACATGGAAATGTGCCCCTCTATCCTAACTCCTCAGAAAGCTGAGGTAGGAGACTTGTTTGCATCCAGGAGATCGAGACCAGCCTTGGTAACATAGGAGACCCACCTCCTAACTAAAGAAAGGATTAGGATTCAGTTCTTTGGATACCCTAGCCATGATCCAAATGCCCAGATGTCTTGTGTGGCCGTTGGCTACCAATCGCACAGCTGTAGGACCTCTCTGCTATTGCACAAATCCTATTGGACATTGGTGTTTTTGACCCAAACCCTACTCATCATCCTTCACCAGTTTTCATTTTAACTACTCATTTAGCGGGGGGCTGGAGAGATGGCTCAGTGGTTAAGAGCATTGCCTGCTCTTCCAAAGGTCCTGAGTTCAATTCCCAGCAACCACATGGTGGCTCACAACCATCTGTAGTGGGGTCTGGTGCCCTCTTCTGGCCTGCAGGCATACACACAGACAGAATATTGTATACATACATACATACATAAATAAATAAATAAATAAATAAATAAATAAATAAATAAATAAATAAATAAAACAAAACTACACATTTAGCTAGGCTTGAAGGCATACTGCTGTAAACTCAGCATTTGGGAGGTGGAGGCCAGTATCAACTATCCCGTCAACTTTCAAAGGCAGGCTGAGCTATGAGACCCTGTCTCATAAAACAAATACACAGTAAGTACATTAATTTTTTCCATGTTGGAAATTAACCATAAGTCTCTGTATGCTGAGAAAGCTTTTTACTGCTGAGCCACGCCTCAGCCTCTCACCATAAATCCTCTGATATGTCAATTTGAGACTTCTTCCCCAGATACAGCTTCTAAAATCAGTCTGGTGTATTTCCTCTCTGAACAGTGTTCTCCACTTTTCTTTCCATTTAACAATGTCTTGGAGATATTCCTACGAGAATACGAGAATATGTGTGTATCTCTGGTTGAGGTGAACTCAGAAGCACAGCATTTGCTTAGCATAAACAAGGTTCTGAATTTGACCTTCAGAACTGCAAAGAAAATGTTTAATTAGAAAAATATATTTGGTGGGGGGAGGGGGGAAAAGGGAGGCGGGGAGGAGGCAGAAATTTTTAATAAAAAATAAATAAAATTAAAAAAGAAAAGAAAAATATATTTGGGGGCTGGAGAGATGGCTCAGCAGTTAAGAGCACTGACTGCTCTTCCAGAGGACCCAGGTTCAATTCCCAGCACCCACATGGCAGCTCACAACTGTCTGAAGATCCAGTTCCAGGGGATCTGACACCTTCACACCAATGCACATAAAATAAAGTTAAATAAGCCTTAAGAAATATTTTAAAAAAAGAAATATATATTTTCAGGCAGTGGTGGTGATTGCCTTTAATCCCAGCCCTCGGGAGGCAGAGGCGGGCGATCTCTGTGAGTTCAAGGCCAGCCTGGTCTATGAGAGCTAGTTCCAGGACAGGCTCCAAAGCTACAAAGAAACCCTGTCTCGAAAAACCAAAAAAAGAAAAAGAAGGCTATTGATTCATCATTTTGAGTGAGGTAATCCAGACACAGACAATTATCACACGTACTCACTCATAAGTGGTTTTTAAACATAAAGCAAAGAAAACCAGCTCACAAATCACAATCACAGAGAATTTAGACAACAATGAGGACCCTAAGAGAGACTTACATAGATCTATTCTACATGGGAAGTAGAAAAAGACAAGATCTGAGTAAATTGGAAGCATGGGGACCTTGGGAGAGGGTTGGAGGGAAGGGGAGAGGCAGGGAGGGGAGGAGAGAAAAATGTAGAGCTCAATAAAAATCAACAATAAAAAAGAATTCTGCATTGAAAAAAAGAAAAGCAAAATATGTTTTCTATACCGGGCGGTGGCGGTGTACTCCTTTAATTTCAGGAATTAGAAGACAGAGGCAGGCAGATCTCTGTGAGTTTCAGCACAGCCAGGGCTACACAGAGAAACCCTCTCTCGAAAAAAAAAAAAAAACCTGAAATAAAGCAAGAAGTATATTTTCTTTGCTCTGGAACTGTTACAGAATAATCTGTAGCTTTAGTTATTCAGCAGTTTCCTTCCCGGTGGACATTTGTATCTCATATTCTTGGATTCTGAATAGTACTATCTGCAAACAGCCTGACACTTCTGTCTGTATTTGTACACAGTTGTCTATGGTAGATACCAGGAGGTAGAGTTGCTAGGCCAGAGAGTCATACACCAGGAACTGTGGGACTTGGCACATCCTCCTGTGTCCACCGAGAATGCCTCTCTACACGAGTCATCAAGTCCAACCAAGTGTCATGCCTTTCCTGTCTCTGTTTTCTCACGGGACCTTTTATCCACATCTCATCATTGTTGTATATGTAAGGCTCAGCCTTATTTCTCGACATATCCCCAAATCTAGTATAGGGCTTAGCATAAAGCAAAAATCCACAAGTTTCCTTGACTGAACAAACAAACAAACAAATGAAGGCACAGTGGTTAGGACATTCCAGAAGTCTGTGAGTTCCCTAAAAGCTGGCTGCTGACCAACTTGCCACCTGATACTCTAACCCAAGGTGTTCCTCACTAGGTTTTTATTTTTGGACCTCTGGGCCTGGGCGTCTTGTCTTGAACTGTTCAGACTGAGTGACACTGTGTGCAATGTAGTTAAGGGCTCTGGCCATAGGACGTAGGAATCTGAGCCCCAGTCTGTCTCCCTTCACCTACAGCCCAATATGTTCTGTGCTCTGTCCCCTCCCAGGACCTTAGGGACAACTAAGATCAGCTCCGACATTTCTGCTTTCCAGTTCCAGATCTGAACCCAAGGGAAGCCAGATGTTTTCACTGCACATCCACTTCTCCCTGTGGTCTGAACAGCCTTGTTTCCTGAGTCTCTATGTCCTGACTTCTGTACCTCCCAGAGCCTGGCTGTACATCCCAGAGCCTTGTTTCCTGAGTCTCTATGTCCTGACTTCTGTACATCCCAGAGCCTTGTTTCCTGAGTCTCTATGTCCTGACTTCTGTATATCCCAGAGCCTGGCTGCCAGCATTATTTTTAATGAGGTTTTTTAGTAGGCTGTTTCTGTAATTAATTTCATTCTTGCATTTTCACACTTTCTGTCTGGATGCCTAAACGCCCCTAGGCACTAGGTGGGATGCTAACTGATTCCAAATAATACAAAACACGATGGCTGCGATTAGACATTTCCCAAGCTCCTCTCTTTTGCAGCTGTTTTACAATAGCTAATTAGATGGGCACACAGCCCAGTGGAAGGTCAGTCAGCCGGGTTACCCATAAGGTTTTATAGAGGCAGAAATAGATAAGGAGACAAGATTTGTCCAAGCCCTTGAGAGAGTGAGTGTGTTAAAATTGGCTTCAGAAACCTCATCCTCAGGTGTCTGAATCTACTACTCGAGATTTGCTACAATGCCGCCAGAGTCCTGAGGCCAAAGGTGATATAAAGGGAGACAGTCTCTCGCTCCCAAGCCAGCCTCCAGCTGCTGGTGTTGCTTCTCCTCAGCAGCCTCTCCCCACCACCCTTTCCCATTTTGTGAGTGGACTCCACTGAGCAAGGAGCGCACTAATGATTCCTTCCGCATTTAGAAATAACACGAATTTGCTATTTTTAAAGTTGTCTTTTAAAACTCCGCGCGCACGTACTCACACTTCTAAGGGAATGAAGGGGGCTGGGTTGGAAATGTACGTGCAGGAGAGAGAATGCTAGGCCTGTGGCTTCCAGAGTGCGCGCGGTCCCCTAGGGGCAGTCCTCTGCCCTCTCCAACCTCGAGGACCAGAGTACCAGAGGTCTGGGACCCCGCGCTCCCTCCTGCCTCTTGGGCTCAGGGCACCGCTGCTGGGTCACCAGGCTCGGAAGAGAGCAGGAGGGGCGAGGAAGCCAAGCAGGTGGCGATTAGGTCAGCCTCAGAACATTTCTTGGACCACTCTAGTGGATATAAATAACAGACCCACAGGCTCTGAAATCCCGAGAGGCTAAGGGTGGGGGAGTGAAGAAGGAGGGATCTATTTAGGGTGGGGTGGCATCGTGACGATTCGGAAAAAGTCTACATTGGACAAGGGAGGTGAAGAGACCAAGGGATTTAAGGATATGAATCGAGGTACAAAATCTGGGACTATGAAGATGGGGTGGGGAGGATTCATTTTTTTTCCTCACCCCCACCGCGTTTGTCCCAGGTTCCTGAATGCACGCTAGAGTGGTCAGCAGAGCTATGCTAGGTAGGCATGGCTTTACAGTCTGCTTCTCTGCTTCTGTCAGACTAAAGATCGTGGGCAAACCGCTGAAGGTCTTTCTAAGCCTCATTTTCTGACTTCAGAAGAATCCTAATGTTTACAAGAAGGGGTGGTTGTGAGCCTCCCCGGAGCTAACCTTTAAGAAAGGTACTCTTAGCTGAGAATATAATGCAGCAATGTCCCCTATCCCACCCCAGTGATGTGGATGCAGGCTCCGGTTCGCTCCCACCGGCTTCTCAGGCTCTGCAAGGACCGAAGAGCCGCAAAACTGAAGTATAGCTCTCTGCTAGCCTCACTCGCAGCGCCACCTTCGACAGTTGGCTCCTGTTCTGCATGGGGGAGCAGAGCCTATGCCCCCCCACCAGCCACCCGGCGCCCGGATGCCTGCAGTCCCCGCAGCGGGGATGCTGTTGGTGGGGTTGGATAGGCGGCAGCGCGGAGAGGGCGGGCCCGGGGGGCCGGGCTTCCCGGGGGAGGGCCCGGCGCGCTCCAGGAGGCGGTGGCCCAAACCCAGGAGTGGTTAGACTCCGGACCGAGCGTGGCCGGATCCCCCACCCACCCACCGAGGGGCCCTGAGAGGACGCGGTGAGTGCCTTGGAGGGGACGCCGGGGGACGCGGCGGCAGTGCCGTGGCTCTAGCTCGCTCTTTGGTCCTCCGACTCCTGAAGTTGGCAATGGGACGGACTCCCGCGTTGGAGACCCCGGCCATTGGTTGCCACTGAGCGCAAGGCCATCTCATCTACGCCAAAGAGGCGATTCTTCAGGCCAGCTGGGAGTAATGGGGCGTCCAGGCTGGAGAAGCAAACCATCTCCTGGAGCTCTTAGAGGGTCCCAAACTGCTCTCCTCGCTCTCGTTCTGAAGCCCTAGAAGGGGCTTCTGTAGAAAGCCCGGATTCCCCACCCGCTTCGCGACACCATCTGTAGTCCACCGCCCGGCGTGGCTAGCCCTGGCAGGCAGCGCCCCTTCCCCTCCGCAGTTACCAGCTGGTCCCACCTCCCCACCGAGACCAAGTTCAACAAGTTTGTCCAAGAAGTCCTAGAGCGTCCATGTCTAGGCCTGGCTATGCCTGTCTGTGTGGCTGGCTCCACCAGCTCGGAGTTGTTCAACCACCGTGCCTTCTGGGATCGGGAGGTGGTTTGTCGAGTGGCGCTGTATGTAAGGGTGGAGGCCAAAGACCGGCAGTCCCTGGGTTCCGAGATTTGGTGTGGAGGCTCAAGGTTAGGAGTGCGTCATTAGCGAGCAGGCACCTCAGCTGGTAGGTCGGGTTTCCAAAAATGCCCCTTTGTTATGCCCCTCCCTGGCTCTGCCTCCTCCCTCTTTCTCTGCGCCACCCCTCCCCCAACCCTCCAAAAGGCCGTGCCAGTCTCTTGATTCCACGCGCCCCTCTCTGGATCAGCAGCTACCCCTTTCTGCGCCTTCTAACCTAAGTCTACCGATTGACTGGGAGAGGCTGCTGACGAAGCCCTTGGGCGCAGCCTGTGTGACTCAGGACGCAGGACTGAGCAGGGAAGGGTGGCTTTGCTCTCTCCCAGACCCATGTCCCCAGCTCCTGAAAATGTGGGGGCTAGCTTATGTGTAGAAGAGGAGTAGGGCCGAAGCCTTTGGAGCTCAGGTGGAGGGAGCGTGCACTCTCCTGAAGCCCAGCACTCTCAGCTCAGCATCTGAGAAGAGACCCTGCCTATGGCCCAGAAGCCTCCTCTGCCTGGATAGGTGGAGGTCCTGGGCTGGGAAGATTTTAACTACCTGTTCTTGCTCTCTGAGCTCTTGCTGTGGTAGAGTGTGTTTACTCGGATTTGAGTCTCTGCTAATGTCAGGAGGCGCAAGGTGCCAATCCTCCTCAACAGGGACCAAGGTGCCAGGTCCACCCCCATAGCTAGATGAAGCTGGGGTGCCGGGCCTGGCTGTGCCTGGGGATCCAGTCTGTTTGCTCTGTGAGGTCTGAAAGAGCTGTGCCAGCCCTACACACACAGCCTGCTCTGTTCTGGGGCCAGGGAGAGGGAATGGGTGGGGGGCAGGTCTCCTGGGAGCCTGGGCAGGGAGGCTGGAATAGGCAGGAGCCCCAGGCCTGGATGGTTCTCTAGGACAGCTCCAAAGGCCCAATGACTTATAGCTACTGTTCTTTCTTTCCCCATCTTGCTGGCAAGCCATTCTGGACAAGTGGGGTTGACTCAAGAGGAAATAAGGTGAAGAGCTAGTTAGGGTGGTGGGGAGTTGCTCTGGGTCCTGGGAGCTTCAATGCCTCTATGCTAATGGGTCTTCAGGGAGAGGCCTGTCCCCTCCTGCCAGCAGCAGAAGGAAGTCAGTTAGGCCAGCCTCTTTCAGGGTTGCCATAGCCAGCAGGCTTTCTGGTCTTCAGATGGGACATCTTTCCACTTTCCTTTTTGGTGCTGGTGATGGAACCTCTGACCTCGGAGCATATTCTACCCCTGAGCTGTGCCTACAGTTCCTTGTTGCCACTGATTCTAGTGCCTGGGTTAACACAAATTGAAACTGCAGAAGTCTGTCAGTGACTGTGGACAGTCCCGTCACAACCTATGGGACGCACAGTGGGACCAGGATCCCAGCAGTTCTGAGAGCCTCGCGGATGGAGGAGTGGGGAAGATGGCCTCTTTACCAGTTTAGAGAGAGCACTGTGACAGAGTTCTGCTTTGCTGCAATCTCATACACTCGTCCTCTTGACCCACTGTCCCTTAGGCCTTAGGCCATCTCAGAGAAGAAAGCAATTTCCTTCTATAGACTAAGAGGCAGTTGGTACTAGGGAGAAGTCAGGAGGCTGCTTGTTGCTGTGTCATCTAGCCCCTGAGGGAGAGAGCCTTTGGGACAAAAATTCATCTTGCCGTCCTCCACAGTTCTTCTTACTGGCTGTGCACGAAGCCCCACCCTAGGCCTTCTGAGGGAAGAATGGAGTTGTTTGTTGTCTCAAGACCCTTTGAGGCTTCCCTGAATGTTGTGTGGTGGTGGCAGGGGGCAAGTGAGTGTCCCCTTCTGACTGACGGATCTTTTAAGTGTTTCTGGTTTGTTGCCTAGTCTGAGTTTTACATCAGCCATAGCATGGGTGCTGACCAGGTACAGGGCTTCCCATCTTAATTAGGGTGCACCGAGGCTCCCTCAAGACAGTACAACACAGTTTTCCAGAACCTTCCTGGTCGTGGCAGGGCCCAAGTCTCCTGGCGCTCTTTCCACTCTGCACAGTTGCAGGGGCCATGAGTTGGGCACCTATCAGCTGGACTGGTTTGGTCATGGGGTTGCCTTGTTGTTCAAGGGGCCTTAATTAGGCAGGAGTCCTCGTTTACGGTAGGAGTGTGGGACTTTCTGCCCACCACCTACCCCTGTCTGTCACCTAATCCCCTGCTGGATCATGTGACCCGCCTGGCATTCTCAGCCTGGAATCTGGTACTTCTGACAGCAGTTGCTATATTGGAAGGAGCTGGGCACCGCCCTGGACACTGGAGGCTCTTTTCTGTGCTCTTGTTAACTGCAAGGCAGAGTCGTAGTGGCAGCTTGGAGACTTGGACACGGGTCCTTGAAGTGATCTGGAGACCCCAAGTATGTAGACGATGGACTGAGGAGGGTAAACCTAGAGCGAGCAGGGAACTTAGGAGCTGCCATCATTGCCCCTATCCTGCCTCCTTTTGAGGACTTCTCTTGCTCTGATGGTTCCTTTGGTGGTGGGAATGGCAGTGGGACAAAGCTTTTGACTATTAGAAGGTCTTTTCCTAGTCCCCAAACTGCAGGCCTCACTTTTCTGCTTCCTAACTTGGCCTCTACAGCACCACATCTGCCTCCATTCTGTGCTGCAGGGACGCCATGGCTCCAGAAGAGGATGCTGGAGGGGAGGCCTTAGGGGGCAGTTTCTGGGAGGTAAGTAGCTAGAGACTGGCGAAAACTGTCCCTTTCTCTCTGGCTCTGCCACCTATGGGGGAGGGGCCTGTCAGCCCAGCTGGAGAGGCAGCTTCTCCCTGATAAAGCCCTCCCTCCTATGTGCCACAGGCTGGCAACTACCGACGGACGGTGCAGCGGGTTGAGGATGGGCACAGGCTGTGTGGGGACCTGGTTAACTGCTTCCAAGAACGTGCCCGCATTGAGAAGGCCTATGCCCAGCAGCTGTCTGACTGGGCCCGCAAGTGGAGGGGAGCTGTCGAGAAGGGTGAGCCAGCATGCAGGCCTAGCAGACTGTAAGGGTGGTACCCTCAGGACAGCTTCTGTTTCTTGATGTTTGTGGGTGCTAGGGATGGAATGAAAGACCTCAAGCATACATGGCAAGAGGGATCCATGTTTCTGCTCCGTCCCCTGTTTTCTAGAGCAGAAGTGAAGATCAGAGAAGGGACTTGCCTGAAGCCACACAGCTAGAAGGAGTTAACTGTGGAGTGTAGGTCTTCCGGCTGGGTAGGAAGGTCCCAGGCACAGAGTTTGTACAGTAGATTTGGGTTTATCTTGGCTAAATAATAGATGTGATGCTTTGGACAACTTAATCTGACTTCTCTAGGCTTTAGGGTTTTTTTGTTTTGTTTTTGCCTGTTCAAGATGGCAGTAGTAGCACTGTCCCCACGGTGGTACTGGAGGCAAGAATTCATGAGATCGCTCACATCAGGGTACAGAGTAGGCACTCCTAATGCAGCACCTTATACTGCTGCTGTTCAGCTTTGCACCCCCACTCCTACCATGCCTCTGTCTGGCACTCAGAGTAGGACACTTTAGGGGTTGGTTATATTTGATAGCACCCCATCTGGCCCAAGCTCATCCCTCTGCAGGCCCACAATATGGCACTCTGGAGAAGGCCTGGCACGCCTTCTTTACTGCGGCTGAGCGGCTGAGCGAGCTACACTTGGAAGTGAGGGAGAAGTTGCACGGTCCAGACAGCGAGTGTGTGAGGACCTGGCAGCGAGGGGCTTTTCACCGGCCAGTGCTGGGTGGCTTTCGGGAAAGCCGGGCTGCCGAGGATGGTTTCCGTAAAGCCCAGAAGCCCTGGCTAAAGAGGCTGAAGGAGGTGAGGCTGGGAGCAGTGAATATTGGAGGCAGGAGCCTTCCAGGGCTGCACGGGACCAGGGTGTGGCATCTAGAATCCAGAGCTTTTCTCATGCATGTTAGGTTGAAGCTTCCAAGAAGAGCTACTACACAGCACGCAAGGATGAGAAGACAGCCCAGACCCGGGAGAGCCACGCGAAAGCAGACAGCTCCATGTCCCAGGAACAGCTTCGAAAGTTGCAGGAACGAGTTGGACGCTGCACCAAGGAGGCAGAGAAGGTACAGGCCCCTGGCAAAGCTTCCTGGGTGTCTGCCTTTCCAGACTCTAGGCTCTTCCTGCTCTAATCCCTGATGCTGCTCTTGCTTGTCATGGTTATTTAAAACAGGAACCTGGGCTGGGTCTTAGGGTATACCCTTTGATACAAGCCCTCAGGAAGCAGAGGCAGGTGCATTTCTGTAAGTTTGAGGCCAGCCTGGTCCACATAAAGACTAGCTCAGTTTACATGTAGTTTTAGGTCAACCAAAGCTACTGTCGTGAGGCCCTGTCTCAACAAACAAACCAACATAAAGGAGGAACTTGGGGTTGGGAGTTGGCTTGGTTGGAAAAGTGGTTGCTGGGCTCAAGGCAGCTGACGTGGGTGAAGGGGAGGTGACAGAAGGGTGTGTATGTTGGGAATGGATGGGGCAGGTGGATCCTGGGACCTCAGTGGCCACAGTCTCACGGCTGGGAGGGCTGAGAAAGGCACACTATGTTGACATGTGGCCTACACACACATGTATATGCACAGAGGTGATGTCTTACCCAGGAGAGGAATGCTGGGGTTTCAGGCAGCTGAGCCTTAGTTACCTGGGGCCAGTTCTCATATTGCACACTCTGTCCCCTGCCCTGAGTGCCCTTCCCTCGAGCATCCCTTCACCTCTGAGAGGTGTCATGTCTGTAACAACTCCTTCAAGCCTACTTTGATTTCTCTCACCTTATCATGTAGGTTGACCCTGTCCTTTGCTCCAACCAGATTCTTATAGGCGTTTGACTTGAATGTCACTTCCCTGTTAGGCTGCCTCTGTCAGTCCCTGAGGGTAGGAAATGAGTTTCCGGACTGCCTACCCCACCCCCGGTCCCAGCTCCAAGGCTAGCTGGTGGCTGTGCTCTGTGACTGCTGGTGCAGTCCTGAGTAGAAGGCAGTCTGTCCTCATTGCCTCCCTTCTCTCTCACCCAGATGAAAACCCAATATGAGCAGACACTGGCGGAACTAAATCGCTATACCCCACGCTACATGGAGGACATGGAGCAGGCCTTTGAGAGCTGCCAGGCTGCGGAACGCCAGCGGCTTCTCTTCTTCAAGGACATGTTGTTCACCTTTCATCAGCACCTTGACCTCTCCAGCAGTGACAAGTACGGCCTGCACCCTGGAGGGAGGCTTCCCTTCAACTCCTATGGGTTCTAGCTGGGCTGAATGGAATTCTAGGAGCTCGGGCTCCTCTCTGATTGAGTGCCTCGTAGGTTCCATGAGCTCCACCGAGACCTGCAGCAGGGCATTGAGGCTGTTAGCGATGAGGAAGATCTCCGCTGGTGGCGCAGCACACATGGACCTGGCATGGCCATGAACTGGCCACAGTTTGAGGCAGGTGTTACAGGCTGGATGGGGCTTGGAGGTGGGCTGGGCTCAGTGCAGGCCCCGAGAAGATGACAGGGTTTTGGGGTAAGTAAGTAAAGGTGGTCCAGATGGCTCTGTTGCCACCATGGTTACAGTTCAGCCTGACTCTAGAAACTCTCTCCACAGGAGTGGTCCTTAGACACACAGAGAGCAATCAGCCGGAAGGAGAAGGGTGGCCGGACCCCTGATGAGGTTACCCTGACCAGCATTGTACCTACAAGAGATGGCACTGTACCCCCACCCCAGTCCCCAGCATGCCCAGCATCTCCAGGGTAAGAGCTGGGAAGGAAACAGCTCTACCCCTTGCTGGTTCCCCTCCCTTCACAGCAGTACCCGAGGGCCCTCTCACAGAGGTTTAGGTTTCTCAAGTTCCTTATGTTTTGGCTGTATTTGGCTCGTGCACAGAATGGTACCTACATTTGCAGTCATGGTGACCAAAGTGTGACTTTTCATTTAGCTCCTCCCCATCTGCATTCCTCCAAGTGTCAAAACCTTTGCCTTGAGCTGAGTATGGTCGCTTTTGTCCAGAGTTGCCCCTTTGTGTCTCCCTCTCTAGCAGTGGGCAGGATGAGGACTGGTCAGATGAAGAGAGCCCCCGGAAGGCTGCCACTGGGGTGAGGGTGCGGGCGCTTTATGACTATGCCGGCCAGGAAGCCGATGAGCTGAGCTTCCAAGCAGGTATGCTGGGCACGGGGG